ATTAGTTTCCTACTCCTGCTGTACCAAATTGCTACAAAGTTGGTGGCTTAAAATAACCAAATTATTGTACAGTTTTCACAGTCAGTATTTTGAAATGAATCTTAGAGGGCTAAAATCAGTGTTGGCTATGTTCCTTCCTCTAGAGGAGAAGCCTTTCCCTATCTTTCCCAGTTTCTGGAGGTCATCTGCATTCTTTGATTCATGGCCTCTTCCCTATCTTCAAAACTCATCACTTCAACCTCTACTGTCCATCATCTCATCTCCTCCTGCCTTTGACCTTCTTGCATCCTTCTTATAAAGACCCTGTGATTACATTGGACCCACCTGCATGATCCTCCCATCTCAATATCCTTAACTTAATCACGCACATACGATAACATATTCACAGGTTCTCGGGATCTTCAGGGGCCAGATTCCACCACAAGTGCTCACTCTCTTCCTCAGCTCATTTACATATTTTATTGCTGCTCATGAACTCTTTCTAGTGTTTACATGAATCTCTGTAAATGTCTCCATCATTTTTCTACTCTGAGATTGGGTTTCTTCCCTGCCTGTGTTGCAGAGTTTTGTGGTCTGTTTGATCTGACTAATCTTGCAGTGTGTGCCAGGCTTCCTGAGATGGATGGTTGTTTTTTTTCTTTTTTTGGCTCAGGACTGTTGCTGGAGTGCTTTAGGTGACAACATTCTCAAAAATTATGAAAGGCAAAGTGACTTTTCTCCCCATCGGTCAGGAGCATAGCAGCAGATAGGTCACCTATTTTGTGGCTGAGGCCTGAGACAAGCTCAGCTACCTGGATTCCTCATACTTGACCAGATGCAGGGTCAGGGAGGACTCCTCCCGCCCATACAGCTCCTTCTTGGTCTCTTGCAGGCCACAGAGACCACAAACACTCCTGGGTGGTAGTTGTTGATGCTAACATTCCCCTAGGAAATCCACAGATTTCTACAGGCAAAACTCCTCCGAAGACTTGGCATCTTAATGCTGTTGTCCCTATGTTGTTTGTCTCCAGGTACTCGTCCCCCTTATAGTGGTAAAGAGTGTTGTACAGTTGTCTCGCCTCACGTCCATGGTTACCAGCCACCTGCCCCAGCAGCTATTTACCAGTGAGGAGGTGGCAGAGAAGGGAAGAGAGAGAGAGTGTCTAGATCACCATCTTCCCAGAATGCCTTGCTCTAAAAAGACCCCCCCAACCTTGTCACCCAGCACTCACCTACCTCACATTTTTTTAAACTGAAATTCAAATATAACTGGGGAGCCTTCATTTTCATTTGCTAAGTCTGGCAACCTTACTTTAAGTGCATTTATTGACAAACAAGAAAGACCGGAGAAATTAATTAAGCATCCAATTCAAGAACCTAGGAAAAAGCATAACAAAATAAACCAAAAGAAAGTAGAAAGGAGATTAAAGGCAAAAGTTAATGAAATAGGAAAACAAAACCAAATAAAACCAGTAGGCCTGACTTCAAAAACAATGAAAAGTTGGTTCACTGACAAGAGCAATAAAATAGACAAACTTCTGGCAAGTAGAATGAGGTAAAAAGAAGGAGCAGTAGATAACATTTGAGATAGAAAGGGGTACATAATCAGATTTTAAAAGACGGCTGTTTTAAATTACAACTTTAATAAATTTTTAAGTCAAAATGAAAAGCATTTTCAAAATACGAATTACTAAAATTTGCTTAGGACGAAAGATAAAAGCTGAACAAACAAAAATAATTGTAGGGAGTTATAGGACAGTTCTTGTTGATTAGATAAGTCCTATGTTATTTAAATCTTCCACATCATAGAAAAACATCAGTACTTTCCAGCTCATTTTGAACCTTGCATAACCCTGACACAAAAATTGAACAAGAATGACACAAGAAAAGTAGAGATTAGTCTTATTTTTGCTCCTTTACAGGAAGTTGTTTATTATGGGGGGGGGGGGGGGGGCGGGGAAAGAGGTTTGGTAGAATAATCATGTAAAGTATTATTTCATTGGTATTTTTAAAAATAATGTATTTGTGCCTAAATTTGTGTCTATTTTTGTATATAGATGTGTAGGATAAACTTAGAAAAAGAGGTCTGGAAGGATACACATAAAACTACTGAGTGTCAGTATAGTATTGTAAGGAGGAAGGTGAGAAGAAATGTTCACTCTATGCATTGTGATAAGTTTTGAATGTTTTTACAGCAAGCATGTATTGTACAGCACAGAAAATTATTTTTTAAATGTACTTTGCTTTAAATAAATTGCAAGAGTCCTTAAGGGACTTTACACACAGTTTCTTCATCTATCACAAATAAAATATATTACACATTTCCAATTGAACAAAATAAAATAGTTCCAAATTATTTGATATAGCCACTGAGTAGGAAACAAAGCAAATCCTGAGGCATCTCCCATTTCATTTTCAACGGGTAAGAAGTTGCGACCCTGACTCAGCTTTTACTTCGTGGAAATAATTTTATTTTAGAAACTGACCTCACAGTGACCCTGCCCCAGCACATTATGGGGGTTCTTATTACACATTTGTCTGTAGAGGGCTGGGGATGCCTTCATTCTCAGTGCTGCTTCATCTTCTTTACAAAATAAAGACGCTTGGGATGTGAACTCAGAGGGAATATGAGAACCGGATTTTTTGATTAATTTAAATAGTATAAGAGCTGGTCTTTTGTGGATTGTTTTAAATGGATATTGTTACGGATTAAATACTATTCCAGTTGCATTTTTTAAAATTCCCTCTTTAGTATTACATGAATAAGGCATTAACAGTGTTCTCCAAACTTTGAATAATATTTCTAGAATGAAGATAGAATTAAAGAGAAGAGAAGGCATTTGGGAGATACAAAGCACTTTTGTCCAGTGGCTCTCAAAGAAAACTTCATCCTACAACCAGGCAGCACAGAAGAAGCAGCTAAATATCGAGAAAAGATCTATTACTTTTCAAGTCCTGAGGCTAAAGAAAAGTTTTTGGAGCAACCTGAGGAGTATGTGGCTCATGATGAACCATTAAAGGTGAAAACAATATTCCCATCCTGACAATCGCTCCTGCGTACTTTTTAGGGACTTATTACCAACCTCCACCATTTTACTCAGTAGTGAAGTCCCCAATCTAATATAATGGTATGGAAATATCTAGGTTCCAAGAGCAACTTTTTGGAATATAACATAATCTAATTATCTATTTGAATTTCTTCAGTAATGCCTGTGTCAGACCAACACATGATATCTTTTTAGCTGAAGTAGAAAGTCACAGCTGAATTTACTGCTTGTAAATGTATTGGATTTATTTTATTGCCTAATCATTTTGACATACCATTTTAACATCTAATTTCTTGTTAGACATTTTTTCACAGTAATTTTTATAGTGTGATTTTGCCATTGTGGATATGAAATAGTACTTAGGAAATCTTTGGGCATATGATCCTTTGTTTCTCTTAATTATTTTATTAGTATAATTCCTTAGAATGGGACTACAAGATCAAAATATATAAATCACAATATACTGTCATAACTTTCAGTAACGTTAATGCCTCGTTAAACAGAACTTATAAAACACAATTTAAACTCTTCTGGATAATTTGGGCCATTTTCATGGACCTAAATCGTCCCATAGGGATGACTGAAGTATACCGATGGTTGTGCCCTGGCCCTCCTGGTGATGGGAGTCACTTAGGAATGCGGCCTTTTGTCTTATTTTGGTGTTTTGTTTTCCTCTTAGTCTGTTTCACTACTTGTGGTCTATTGACTTGTTTTACTCATAACCCTGTGGACAAAAGCCTGAAATCTTAATGGTGAGTCCACACTTTTTCTGCAAATTGTCACATATCTACATCCCTTCACTTCCTAGCTACTTATCCGCTCTGAATTCCACACAGCTCTGTCTGCCAGAGGTTAAACCTCTGGATGAGTGAGGTGTCACTTCAGCAATTTCATCACTGAGGGATTTAAAATGTGGTCCAAAAGTATGGTGTGACACTGCACCTACATAATTTCATACCACTCTATTTTCACTATTCACCATTCTCTTTTTCATTATTTTTCTCAAGTGATTCATCAACTGACTTAAATCTTATCACATGACCAGTTCTTTTTTTATTGGCATACAGTATTATATCAGTTTCAGGTGTACAACATAGTGGTTTTACATTTACGTATATTGTGAAATGATCACCAAGTTAAGTCTAGTAACCATCTGTCACCATATGAAGTTATTACAATATTGTTTACTATATTCCCTATGCTGTACAGCCAACCTGGACATATTTATTTTATAGCTGAAAGTTTGTACCTTTTAATCCCCTTCACCTATTTTGCCCATCTCCCTACCCTCCTTCCCCTCTGGCAACCACCAGTTTGTTCTGTATGTCTGTGAGTCTGTTTCTGTTTTGTTATGTTTGTTCGTTTTGATTTTTAGATTCCACATATAAGTGAAATCATACAGCATTTGTCTGTCTCTGCCTGACTTATTTCACTTAGCATAATACCATCTAGGTCCATGAGTGTTGTCACAGATGGCAGGATTTCATTCTTTTTTATGGCTGAGTAATATTCCATTATGTGTGCATGTGTGTACCACATCTTTTTTAACCATTCATCTATCAATGGACACTTAGGTTGCTTCCATATCTTGTTTATTGTAAATAAATGCTGCAAAGAAATGCATAGTGGTACATATATATTTTCTAATTAGTGTTTTCATTTCCTTCGTATAAATACCCAGAAGTGGGATTGCTGAATCACAAGAAAGTTCTATTTTTAGTTTTTTGAGGAACCTCCATGCTGTTTTCCATAGTGGCTGCACCAATTTACATTCCCACCAACAATGCACATCCTTGCCAACACTTGTTGTTTCCTGTCTTTTTGGCAATAGCCATTCTGACAGGTGTGAGGTGGTATCTCACTGTGGTTTTGGTTTGCATTTCCTTGATGATTAGTGATGTTGAACATCTTTTCATGTCATGCCCAATTCTTTAACTAATGATGGAATCAGTTCCACTGGAAGCACATAAACTGAGAGGGATGAAGGGTAGTCTCCTGGGGGGAATCCAGATGTGGTTAACAGAAGAAGAGTGAATAAATGCCGGGTGGCAAAGTCAACGGATATTTACATCATGTCCTCCTCTTGCTTTTGTGGGTTTTTCAAACCCTTGTTTTGCTGAAGCACATTTTCAACTAACTTTCTTCATATCTGAAAATGTCATCATTTGGTTCTCATATATGTTTAACAATTAGTATGGGCATAGAGTTTAGGTTGAAAATCTTTCCTTTTTAGAATATTAAAGGTATTGCTTTATTGTGAGGTAGCATCCAGTGTCACTAGGCTGATTTTAATTTCTTTGTAAGTCAGCTTCATTTTTTAAATATTTGAAAGCTTTTAAGAGCTTCTTTTCATTATCTTGTATTCTTAAAATTGTCCAGAATCTTTTTTATTCATTGCACTGGACACATGGTACATGTTTAATCTGAAATCATGTGTTTTTCATGCTAGGGAATCTTAGAATTTCACAGTACGACTGAACTTTTTACTTCAGCAGTCACATGTTTAATCTCTAAGATCTCTTTCTTTTCTCTGATATTTCTGTTTTCAGATATTCTTTTGTGGACTTGCTATCTTCTTAAATCTCTTAAATTTCTTTCTTTTTTTTAAAATTTCCCTATTCCTCAAGATACCTGACTCCTCTTTCTCCTGTGTTTCTCTGGTATACTTGCACCTTTAAACTCTTCTCTGAACCTTTCCCTCACAAGGACAGAAGGTGATGAGACTGTGCTCCTTGCTTCCCTCTGCTACTCGAAATCTGTTACTGCCAGCCCCTTGGAGGCTTATTCCATCCAGATATATCACCATCTCCCACTCCTTCTTGCTGTCACCTACCAATATCATAGTCATTTCCCCACATTCACAAAAGATTTCCCTGCTCCTCCATCCCAACTCTCACCGTTGTTCTTGACAATTTGAGCACCAATGGACAATCCATACATCTGGATCTCTGTGGGTTCTCTGGTTTTGGGGCTTCCCTATCTCCAATACAGAGATTACAGGAGTTAATGAAGGGACCCCCTAGTGTTCCAGTATCAATGGGCTGTTTGTCTGGTAGAAAGGTTTTGTTGTTGTTGTTTTTATCGTGCTAAGAAAGTGCCTTTCCATTCTTCCTTAATTAAAACTTTTTAAAGGAACAAAATTAATTTAATTTTATTAAATGCCTTTTGGCACTTGATATCAAGATGCTCTGTGGTTGTCGATGATCCCTGAGGACCATGGTTGATGCAATGAATCATGTTAATTGGTATCCAAATGCTGAAACATCCTTGAGTTTGTGAAGTGATAATTCAGTCTTAGGGAGGGCAGTTAATAATAAGCCCTATGTTTTCTAAATTCTCAAAGCTTCCTTTTCTTCACTGTCCTTCTGTCCTACAACCCGCTGACCCACCCCCTGTGGCAGGCTCCTCCGTTAAGAATATGCCTTCTGGGTCCCCATGGCTCTGGAAAAACTGTATGTGGAAGGCAGTTGGCAGAAAAATTGGGCATTTTTCACATCCAGTTTGAAGAATTCCTTCAAGAAAAATTAATGCTTAAAACTGAGAAGAAAGTTGGACCTGAATTTGAGGACGATTCTGAGGATGAACAACTTGCAAAACAGGAACTTGAAGAGCTTGCAATTCAGGCCAATGTTACAATTGAGGAAGAAAATACAAAGAAGCTGGTAGGAATATTAATACTCTCCTTGCAGATAACTGTGCTTACTGGTGTTACTTTGGGGGAGAAGAATATAAGCTGATTCACTTTGTTATACAGCAGAAACTAACACACCATTGTAAAGCAATTATACGCCAAAAAAGATGTTAAAAAAAAAGAAACAAACTGCATAAAGTTTCTAAGAAAAAAAAAAATAGCCCATAAAAATCATTTAAGAGTCATCCTCCCCATATGTTAAATACAGATCTTACTGCTCATCTAGAATATAAAATACTGAGTTTTACATGACTCCAATAAAAAACGGAAAAGCTTTTCCTGACAAGAGTGTTATATAGCATTTATTTGGGACTATGCTATTTGATATGTCTGACCTAGACTGTAAGGTTTTCCATTATTGTGTTCTCCATTTTCTATTTAACATCATAAAAAACCTGTCCCAGTGCCAGTGGAGATCTCAAAATATTAATTTCTAACGATGCCTCATAAGAAAGTTTGTATATATCTCTTAGGTGTTTTCTATCTGGAGGTATAAAGAGAAAGTTCTTAATTCTAGCTCACTTTTTAACCATTTCTTATATAGCTGGACCCTTTTCTTCTCAAATGATTTCCTATAAATGGACGCAGGTACAGATTATATTCCAGATGACTGCCTGCCTGGCCCATCCTTTAATCAGGATCTAGGTTGAATAATTATAAGATAGACGACAAAAATCAGTTAAGCTTTATAGGTGTGTGATATAGACTGAACAAGGTTTTAGTAAAAATGATGAGACAGGTATCCTGAGACCATATATGAAAATCAGTCATGCTAATTGCTAGTAACTCCTCTTAGCAATAGTAAATATCATTTAATATTTAAAACCATATTAAATATTGGTTTAAAGAAAAGAGCTCAGATTTTTAAATGTTTATGAGCAACAGTATAAAAAATGACCTGAGGGGCTTCCCTGGTGGTCCAGTGGGTAAGACACCGTGCTCCCAGCGCAGGGGGCCCAGGTGTGATCCCTGGTCAGGGAACTAGATCCTGCATGCGTGCTGCAACTAAGAGTCCACATGCTGCAACGAAGATCCTGTGTACTGCAACGAAGACCCAGCACAGCCAAAATAAATAAATACATAAATACTTTTGAAAAAACTGACCCGAGAAAAACAGGTCTTATCCTAATCAACTATGTAACATAGTATTATTTATTAATATACAGTTTTAAATTTTTGTTTTGTTTTCTGATTTTTGTTTGTAGCCTCAGGAAGTACAGCTTACAGAAGAAGAAGAAGCAATCAGATTAAATCTAACAGAAAATGAGCCATTGCCTCCCGAAATCCTAGAAGCAATTCTCTCTGAGTGGTGGTTTAAGGAACCGATACGGTATCTTAATTTATATAGGCTTTTATACATTTATTGACTTTTATTTGATTTATTCTTAAAAGTTAAAAACGTAATCCAACATAAATTTAAGAATTTTCTCCTTTACTCTCATGTAAACTAGTGATTCCACACATTAAAAACATCTAGGGGATTATTTAGGGACTTCCCTGGTGGCACAGTAGTTAAGAATCCGCCTGCCAACGCAGGGGACACAGGTTGGAGCCCTGGTCCGGGAAGGTCCCACAGCCACGGAGCATCTAAGCCCGTGCGCCACAACTACTGAGCCTGTGCTCTAGAGGCCGCAAACTACAGCTACTGAAGCCTGTGCGCCTAGAGCCCGTGCTCCACAACAAGAGAAGCCACCGCAATGAGAAGCCCACGCACCACAACAACGAGTAGCCCCTGCTCGCCGCAACTGGAGAAAGCTGGCATGCAGCAACGAAGACCCAATGCAGCCAAAAGTTAATTAATTAATTAATTAATTTAAAAAAAAACATCTAGAGGATTATTTTAAAAATACTGATGCCAGGGACCCCACCCCAAAATAATAGAATCAAAATCTTTAGAGGTGTGAGGTTGGGGCCTGGGCATTGGAGCTCCCCAGGGGATTATAATGTGTAGTTGTGATTAAGGACCCATATTCTAAACCTATGTACACTCATGACGTACCAGACTCTTTGCCTTGTAGTCTTTTAACAATTAGTTAATTCCACTGTCAACTTAAAGAATAACGCACAACCTGAGGGTTGTGAGTTTAAATTTTATTCAGGGTCTTACTGGGAGCCTGGGAGATAGCTCTGAAGACCTGTTCCAAAGAAGTAGGGGAGGAGCCAGTACACATGTATGAATTTCTTGGCTAGGAAATACATGTAGTTAAGCATATATCTTGGTAAAAGATTGCTGCTAATCACGAAGAACAGATATCCCAAGTTAATGATTTTAGTGCTTTTCTACGTATGGGAAAATGCAAGAATCTGGGGTCATTGAAATTCTTCCTGAGATACGCATTTAACTATCTAGGGGCCTGTTTATCCAAAGGACAGAGTGTCTCATCCTGTTTCTTCATCCTGAATTCTTTTCAGGGTACGCTGTCGGTAGGTGACTGCAGTGGGTTGTGACTTAACCCCTGTATAACTGGTTGATGAGCAATGCTCTTTGTTTTTGTTGCTGTGGTTGTTCGCACCGCTAAATAGCTGTCCACAGTCTCATCCCTTTACCAACAGCCAGGAACAAGCCTGACGCCAGACAGGACAAACTAAGAATTCCAGGCCACCAGAGTTTAAGGCTTCACCTGGATTTCCTAACCAGAATCTCTTACCTCGGTATCCACCAGAAGAAAGTGAAATGATACTTACAATACTGATAATAGCAAACACTTATATGGAACTTACTGTGTGCCAGATACTGTTCTCCTATATTTTATTCATATTAATTTCCTTAATCCTTACAACTGCCCTCTGGGACAGAAAGTTTTATTTTCTCATTCTGGAGATAAGGAAACTATATCATTAGAGAATTCAAATAACTGGCAGGTCCCAGTCCTCCTCTGGTCACTCTCTTTCACTTAGTCCCTGGCCTAACCAAGTAAGTGGGATTATTAGTCACTTTAATTTTAATCTCTTGTTCCCTAAGTTAGATCAATAGTTGTAGTAAACTTAGGCATGCTGCTGGCAGCAGCATAGTCATGGGTTTTTCTTCATTAACTTAGCTCCTGACCTCACATCATACATTAAAAGAAAAGCGTATGGATTGAAGAAAAGTAAAAAGTGGAATTGTAATAGCCTAAATAAAATAGCTGAACATTAGCACTACATTAAAACTTATTACAATGAAGACTTTGTAATAGCATAAGAAATTTTTTATACAACGGTTATGTTAAAAAAGAGGATAGGGCTTCCCTGGCAGTGCAATGGTTGAGGGTCTGCCTGCTAATGCAGAGGACACGGGTTCGAGCCCTGGTCTGGGAGGATCCTGCGTGCCGCGGAGCAGCTGGGCCCATGAGACACAACTACTGAGCCTGCGTGTCTGGAGCCTGTGCTCCGCAACAGGAGAGGCCGCGATAGTGAGAGGCCCACGCACTGCGATGAAGAGTGGCCCCTGCTTGCCACAACTAGAGAAAGCCCTCGCACAGAAATGAAGACCCAACACAGCCAAAAGTAAATAAATAAATTTTAAAAAAAAAGAGGATACAAAGTTATTTATAATATGATAGAAGGTTGAACAAGTGAAGAACCAACTAGAAAGAAACAAAACAAAATGTCAGTAACTGCTTGGATATGAGGTTGCAGATAATTTTGCCCTTTTTTCATGACTTTATTTCTGATTTTTCTATAGTGAGATTTATTGCTTTTATAATCAGGCAAAAACCTGTTTTAAAAAGGCATCTGTCCTAGAGATCTAATGTAACTAATTACATTAGTTACATTACTTAGGTTTTGTATGTGAGAAGCAAGAGGAAGTTGAAGGATGTCTCTGAAGTTTGGCACCTGGATACTAGTGAGTCAGAGGAAGAGCTGTGTGGAAGGGTAACAGTGAGCATGAGTTTTTGACAGTATGATGCATATATAATTCCTGAAGGGCATTCAGATGGAGAAACTAGGCAGCTTGTTGAAAATTCTAAATCAAAACTCAGAAGAGAGTTTGGGTGTAGGGGTAAAAGATTTAGATGTCATTGACACAGAAGTAACAGCTAGAACAGAAGAGACTTTGCTGAAGGCACCTCTAAAGAAAACAACACATATCTTACGGCCAATACATGTAAATTTGCCCACTTAATTAGAAAGAAAACAACATTTCTAAATGACAGTTAAGAGCTGAAACTGTCAAATGTTCATGAACGTCCTATTCCTTTGAAGAAGAAAACGTATATTTAAATATAAATAGTTAAACCAAATCTTAGATAAATGAGATAAACTTTCATTCAAAAAGGGACCAGTATTAAATCTCTCAACTAAACCAAGCCAGGTTCTCCAAGCCTGATTTTATAAATACTCCCTAATGAAAATGTGTTAACATTCCAAGTTATTTTCATGATTCTTAAAATTTCATCATACTTGAGCAAGTTTGATGATCCTGTCTGAATACGATCATCTTACACATGAGCCAAGACAACATTAATAATTGTCACTGGTTACAAAGGGAGCCAGGGAAGAGGGTTATGAACTTTCCCATGAAAAGAAACATCATTAGAAGAAAAATGACTAAAAGGTAAGTATTCTCAATAAAGGGGTAGAGGGCAGCCAAGTAAACTCTTTATGTAAACGGTGACACATTCATTAGGCTGGTCACTCGTGCCAAGCAGAGAACTTATTTTCTCTTT